GTGTGTTACTGTGAAGGCAGGCTCTGAGGTCTCATATATGCTCAAGCCATGCCCAGTAAACTAGACCACTTCATGTTGCAATGGGTTAAGATGTAAGACTCTCAGCTCTTTCTCTAGCATCATGTCTGCTGTGTGCCAGCATGCCACACCACGATTACCATGTTGACAATGGACTAAACCTCTGAAAAATGTAAGCCACGCTAATTGAATGTTTTTTTCCTTTATAGGAGTTGACATGGTCATGGTGTCTCTTCACAGGATAGAAAGCCTAACTAGGAGAATGACTCTCTCTTTTCTAACTCTTGTTTGTAAATGTATGCTCTTCACATGCGTACAAGCTGGTGCATTCTTTGAGGACAATCTTTCCGGTCAATGTCCCCATAGTGTTTACGACTGTCTCTGACCCAAATGCTGATAGAGCTGAAATCAGTAATACTGAGTGAATCCCAAAGAACCGGATGTTGTCTTGCTTAGCTGCATTGACTTCAGTTAGAACTGAAGAAGCAATAATAACGAAGAGTTTTGGTTTCTGTTTCCTCTTGCTGATTTTCAAACCTCTAAGGAAATTAAATGAGTCAATTTTAGTCTAGCTTTTAGGGTAAGACTTGAGCCCATATAGTAAATGACAGGTAGATGTTAGCTGTTAGTGTTTGGAATTATATTCTTCCTTGAAGATTTTTCAGTTAGATTTTCCAAAAGAGCTGTTACTTTTGGGGTTATAGTAAACAGGACAAAATTTACAGGTAACAAATTTAACAAATAATTATTATTTAGCTTCACCTTTACTAGTGTAACAGATATCTTTTTTACTCATAGTATTTATGGAAGAAAACTTTTTAAAATAAGCAGTGATACAGAACTATGAATATAATTTATGATTTTCCTGTGGAATTTTAGTTCCTAAGACTTTCATGCATGAAGCAAGTTTAAAATGAACTCCTTGTCATAGATGAGCATTTTGAAGCATCCAGGAGTGAAGCTCCATCTTTCCCCTGCATACAGAAGGTATACAAGTAAGGCTGACTCTTTGACGTTAATATACCTATGCTCTGATAGCATCTTGGGAAATTTGTTTAAGTCACATCAAGGCAAGTGCATACACAAGCCCAGTAGCATGAAATCATACTGCAGGCATTGAGCACTGGAATTTTCTGGTGTAGCACTACCCCACAGAAGCATGTGAATCATATACACACCTACATATCTTGGTAGCTGTGATAAAAGCTGTAAAGATGTAAAGAGACAGGCTAACTTACTCATACCGAGTTATGCACATTAACACATTAATTAAATCTATGCTATTTCATTCAACTCAGGATAGGACAAATATAATTTCAGCATGCGTTCTTTTTTTTTTATCTTGCTCTAGGAAGCATGATATATCTTCTATTGAGAGTATGTCTTAATGTCTAAGTTTATTATATTGGAAGACACCAGAGAGTGATGATGTGGGTTAGAGGGATGACAGAGACTAGCCCTGCATCTAAAACTGTCTGTGCTCTGATACTTGCTACCGCTATGACTATGAACAAGTGATTTAGTTTCCCTGAGTCTCAAATCCTTGTTCTTTATAATGGAAAATTTTATAATACTACTATATTTCTCTCAGGAGGCTGGGGGTAAGATTAAATATGATATTGTATGTGAAAGTGTGCTGTTAAACCATAAAATGCCATGCACATGCAAGGCATTATTGCTTCTTTTATTGTAGATTTTGCTCTCATGATTTGCCCAAGGCCACATTCCAAACTGGTGGAGAATGAAGGATAGTATCTGAGGCCTCTGATTTTCAGCCATCTGCTTCAGCTAAAGGCTGTTCATGCCAAACTAGTTTAAAAATGGTGTTTTTTTTTCAAAAAAATCTTGTATTTAAAGGATTGAGGAAAGAGAAGGGTGACATTAAGAAGTAAATTCCATATTGAACAGCTACTTGCATAATGTTTTGAGGTAAAAGTATATGTAAGGATATTTATATCCTTATATATATCTAGAATTATAGTCATCAAGGACTGAACTTTACTGATGTCATATAACATAAAACCCCATATTCTTCAAAGTTTCAAACGACTTTTGAATTAAACTATAGCTTCTCAACTCCATTTATCTCTAAAACAGTACAACCACAAGAAAGTCCTTCTGTACTGGACTTGATTAATAAATCAGATATGGATCAATTCAGCAAGTTTTCCGTGGATATTTTTGGTTACAGATGTACTTCATTAATACTTATGTGTGAGACAACACCACTTACAGTGTGGCTCCGAGAGGCACAGTAATGATAAACAGAAAGTGGGAATTTGTGGGCCCAACCCAGATTATCTGGTGCTCACTGTGTGTAAGGCATGCTAGATGTTTAATTGTCAAAAGAAGTTTGTTTCTTTTTCTTTTTTTTAAATCACTCACCTATATGCCGTTTCATTATAGAAAGTGTGGAATACATGTACCCAGATGTCTGTGGTACATGCATAGGTAATCTGTGCTTTAGAAGATAAAAATTGATCAGAAAAACAGTTCTGCTTAATTGGGAAACCCAGCTGACCCGAACTTGTGAGAGCTCACAAACTCTAGCCCTCTAGCTGGGGAGCAAACCAGGCCCTCTGCATTTAGGCAACAGCTTTGCAGCCTGGTCTGTTTGTGGGACCCCTGGGAGTGGGGCCAGGATCTATTCCTGGTTCATGAGCTAGCTCTTTGAAGCCCATGCCTATAGTGGGATGCCTTGGTGCAGCCTTGATGCAGGATGGGGGATCGATCCTGCCTCAACTGAATATGCCAGGCTTTGTTGACTCCTTACCCTTTCTGACAAGTAGATGGGAGTAGGTTGAGGAAAGACGGGGGAAGGTGGAGGAGGGAAGGGAGGGGAAACTATAATTGTTAAGTAAAATAAATTTAAAAAAAAATTAAAAATTAAGGAAAAATTTAGGAAGATCCCTTGTGTAATTTTGGAAGCCCCAGAGCCATATAATGGTCTGTATGCCTGTTATAATGTTCATATTATTTATGCATTTTGGTCATTTTTTTCTATTGTGTAAAATGGACATCTTTGCAGAATTTAAAGACATTGAAAAAACACTTAGACTTTTAGTTCTACGTGAAATTCATTTTGACAATTCATTTTGACAAGGAAAAAGATGTATACTCAAAAGTTCTTTATTTTCCTCTCAATCAGAACCCTTTCAAATGACTTTCAGATGGTTATTTTCATTAGAAAACCGGTGATTAAAGCTTCAGTCAGTTCAGAAAGTTCAGTCATGCCTGAACTTGCCATATTGAGTAGCGGTGATTTTTATTCCGACTCGCCGAACCACTGCTCTGGACTCAAATAGCTCATTGAGTCACTTTTACATTTTACTGCATTTGCACCTTAGTTTAAAAACAAAGAACTTAATTTTTTAAAAGTCTAATAAAATGTATTTTTGATCTTTCTACCACAACTTCCCAAGCAGTTCCCCTCCTTTGCCCTGTAATAATCACCTTCTGCATTTTTTATGATATAGCTGAACATTATTATTGTAATTTTTTTACTGGGTGAGCCTATCCATGTCCCTGGCAGCAAGAATTTGTCACAAGAAATCCAGAAGCTGAGTTTGTAGCTGGTTGTAACATCGACAGTTTCTCTGGAATTTAGCTCATAGCCTTCCCCAAGAGTGGATACAACCCATACCATGCCTCTGCCCACTGGTTTCTCCAACCTCCATAACCTTGAATCCTATAATCAATCTATTGCTAAAACAAACATGTATATTTTATTCAATGACTTTGCATTGTGAGTATTTTATTTGGAGAACGTCTGATTTTGATGAAACCCAGTCCAAATAGTTGGCAGTATCTATATTAAAAGTGTAATGTCTTAGTAAGATCATTAAATTGTCTGCATTCCTGCAGGTGTTCTGAATGGATTCATATTGAGACAGGTCATGATGTGTGGTGGGATGCTGTGCCGGATGTGTCTTTTTGTTCAAACGAGTCTCCAGCACAAGAGCACAAAGAACCCGAAGAATCTTAACATATCAGCCTTTCAATGATAAACTAAAGCTACACTGTAAAAAAGTCATTGTGCTGCTATATATTAGGAACTTGCAAGCCATGAGTCCAAAAGTCACACTTAAAACCAGGCCGCGGTAATAAGCATAGGGCGGTGTGGCTACTCTGGGATAACGTCTACTTGTCAGAAATGGATGCTATGTTTTGGACTTTTTTCTCCATCAAAGTTCAAAAGCTAATGATGTACTTTATACTTTTTGCTTCTACGGAGACATCACTTAAAGAATAAAAGATTCTGCCATGCTGGTATTACTTTTCACTGTGGATATATTATATATCTCATGTGAACAAAACCACATTTGTTCTGTCAAGCGGTGCTTCAAACATCCTAGATTGTCCTTGGGAAAATTCAGTCCATATCACTTCAGTCATCTGAAATGAATAATTTCTTCATTATAACTCATAATTCCAAACTATAAAATATCAGCTGGAAAAAAATGGGCCCAATTAAGAGAAATATGGTAATGGTAGAAAAACACATATAGACATGTCTGAGAGATGATAAGATTATTTTAATTTTCCCATTTGCACTGGAATTATTTATTTTACAAATCTCCAGATCTTTTATTACCTAAAATCCTTTGCTGAATCATGAAAAGAAGCTTAAGTTAGCAATTTTTCCCTGTACAATCTAGCTACTAACATCTGGCGAACACTTGGATACCTACTCCGGTCCTATGGAAATGATTATTCTGAGACTCTACTTCAACATGCCCGGACTTACAAATCAGCTAGACTTGTACTCTGCATGTTACTGTGAGTTTATTTTTTAAGCTTGATGTTAGTGATAGTCTCAAGTCTTTTTCAGCGGTGTAGATAGTATGGGAGACAGGACAATAGCTCTTGCAGAAAGGCTGGGTACCTATCTGCCTAATTGTTTAGGAACTCCATGGCAACAAGCCTCTGCTTCACCTGTGGGCCAACCCGTGGCTGGTGCCTTCCTCCCTCTTCAAACTTACATTTAGACTTGGCTGGCCAGGGGAATGGAGGACGAGTATTCCTCTTTGCCTCTTGTTGTAGCACCGCGGGCCTGGGGCCTGTCTCGTCACAGGATTTTCTTTATTTCCAGAACAGCTTCTGAAGTAGAAAAATGAGCATGCTTTTACTCCTTTGTATGCAAAGTAAGAAGGTAATTATTACCAACTATATCTTTCTATCACATGAGAATTTGATAGTATATACAACTTATTATATGAGAAATTCTATAGTAGAAATTTATAAACAAAATTTCAGTGCACATTCAAGACACAATAAAGATTCTTATGTATTGATATGAAGAGAGTGAGCAAGCGTGTGTTTTACTTTTATTTACACAACTCTATGTATACTTTTATAAATAGGTTACTATAGTTTAGATCTGGAATCTCTTCAGAGGCCCATATATTAAATGACTGTTTAGTCCATGTGGTCACTGGGAGACAGTGGAACATTTGAGAGGTGTGGCCTAGTAGGAGGATATAGTTCCCTGGGGGAATGCCCTTGAGGAAACAAACATTGGTACCCTGACATTTCTCCTTTGTTTTTTTGGCTATCACAAGGTGAGCAAGCCTCCTCTTCCACTCATTGCCACAATAATGTACCACTAGAAGCTCAAAGCAACAAAGTTAAGAAAGAGCTCTTGACCTGAAATTTCTGAAATCAGTACCCAGAAACACTTTTCCTTTCTTAACACATTAGTTAGAGACACACATGTATGAATTTGTACGAATAGATCATGCACCTTTTGTCTTTATTAGTTTTCATCACCATGGACTAAGTTTTCATTAGTTCCATTCTTGCTGACAAAAATTAGAGACCCTTTGCTGTGGCATTTCCTATATAGGAAGTCAGTTTGTGAGAAAGTAGTCTCCTTTAAGAAAAGTCATGCATTTTCCATCTCATTTGCATACAGTTGAATTAGAAGTTGTTCTTAGTTAGTTGTCAAAAAGGTCACGGTGGGCTGTGACTTGTGTAAATTTTCTTTCAGTGCTGTCACAACTCCAGCAGATAGACACACTTCGTCCATCTCCCCCATTCAGACGATTCACGGAGCATGTGAGATCCTTCCCACGGAAGCCAGGTTTCAGAACTTCACTGCTCTTCATAACAGATACTCTCATTGGAGAGTGTGCCCCTACACTCGGTAACTTCTGAAGCTGGTTTATGAAAGAACAAGAGGCTGTCCCCTGTGCTAGGCTGTGGTCCTTTGGAACATGGGCATCTGACGAGTATGACCTTCAGACCACACACAGAAGCTTTACATCAGTCTTTCACTGTCAGCTCAGTTCAGCCTTCCTTCCGCCCCTCACCCAGGAATCCTTTCCCCAAGACCACTCATTTCAATCTCAGTGTGAACATCACTCCCTCCCAAAGGACCTTCTTGCTCTGCACTAAAATAAACTACTCATGTTCAGGCATCTCTAACCTTGCTTTAATCCTACACTAGCATTAGAACTTCCTTCTTTGTGCATCATATCCACTTAAAGTCTGTTTTCACATGAACTTTCTTCTCTTCCAGTAACTTTCCTTTCCTTCCCCCTCCCAATCACATTCTCTTTCTCCTTTCCTTGACAGGGTTTCAGATAGCTCAGGCTAGCCTCAACCTCATTAAGTAGCTGAGGATGACCTTGAACCTCTACACCTCCTGCTTCTGCCTCTCAAGGAACTACCGGCAGGTACCAGCATACCAACCTCTAGTTCCCTACCTGGGGGGCAGTAAACTTGTTTCTTTTAGACAAAAGCATCTTCTTGTAATTAGAACTGGGCCTGGCACATGGTGCAGTGTTTTAAATACTTGTTAGACCCCTTCTAAATAAACACATCTTGCAATTCTGAAACACAGAACTCAGAGGGAAAGAAAACCAGTACTTGAGATTTTAAACACTTTATTTTCTTTTTAAGCCAGAAATTTTAAACTCTATGGGTATTTTAAAAGACTTTGATGGTTCTGATTAGAGTTAAGTACATTCTTTCTATTTGGAAGAAAAGAAAAACCCACAAACAAAATCACAGCAGCGTAAAATTTTTTCAGGAGTATGATGAGAGCTCCCTCGTCAGATCACATACTTTTGAAACTGTATCACCATTCAGCAAGGCTCTTTGCTTTGAAATGAAGAATGTTTATCTCTCACCAATATTTGATTGCTGTTGAACATGTGGTTATTTACTGGATAAGGAGAAGTCTTAGTAAAAAGACTTTCTTTTATCATTATAAGCGTTGAAATCAATCTTGTTTTGTTTTAATTTTATTATTTTGTTTTTTGATACTGGCTTAATTCAAACATCTAGAATAAGGTGGCATATTTACTGCATTTGGTAAGTGTAATGAGAACTGTTCCCTGTGGGACCACGCATTGTGTGATACAAGAGCCTTGTGGGTTGGGCTTCACTAACCAGGGATGATCTATGATCATAAGATTCTATAGTACTGAGATTTAGTTCTATAAAACCATTGAGCATAATGTGTATTGCTATTCTAAATTGCTATTTATAGTTGTGACATAACATTTCAGGAAGCATATAATATTTTCTCAGACATCTAGACATAGGTTTCAATACATATATCAACACAGCCTCTCCTAACCAGACTTGAATTTCCAACATAAAGCAGGCTGATGATATTCTTATGGCTTCTGAAGAAAGAGGGGATACATAATTGTGCCCTTTGGGCCGGTTCCTTGCTAATTGTGTTATCTGCCTTCTCTCAATTAATCCTACAACTGTGCCACAAATGAATAGAGACAGGGAGATGAAAGATTCTATTTTTTTTTTGCACAGCACTGAAGGAAAAATTTGGCAAACCAGGAATCAGTAAAACAAAACTGCCCAGTCTTATTCGATCAACATCATTCAGGTACTAAATCTCAACTTTTGCAAGGGATACCAAATATCACCTTACTGATGCATAGTGGCATCAAGAACAAAAACAATGTCCACTGCTTAATACTGCTACAAAACAGTATTGCAATGCACATTTGAGTTTTTGAGAAATGGATGAACTTAGGAAAAAAATTGAGTTAGGCACCTTGAAGCTACTGGAAGCCAGTCTTTCTTTCCTATAGAAAAGTCTATTGATTTAGTCCATGACTGATATAATGTTTAGAAGCGGAAAGAGCCCATTACCATTTTAATTAACAGAAACTCGAGGCTATATATTATGAAATTCCTTTCTACTGGAACAGGATCAAATCTTAATTAACAACTGAATCTTGATAAATAGAAGAAAGGAAGACATTCTAGGGTTATATTAAGCCACTAACAAGAATCTAGATTGCTAAATCGCTGGCTTTCTTTTAAGCATGATTAGTGAGACATTCATTTCCTCTTTCTTATAAAACACATCAATGGTCTCATGACTCCAGTAATAAGGTTCAAAGGGGCCAACACTGATTGATCTGGGAAAAACGGAAAATACTTGCATCTCTAAGGTATATATGGCATGATTGGATTATAGTACTTTGAAATGGGGACAATAGGAATGTGGAATCAATTATTAAAAATGCAAATGTACTTGAGAAATGGTGACTTTAGTTTGGAAGGCTAGAGGAGAGGGACTTCCATGGTTGGGATCTGAAATGACCTTCACTATAATTCAAGTGTTGATATTTGACAAAAAGTTTCCCTGAGATATTTTTACTGTTGGTGCATCTGTCCATCACTTTTTTGCAACATGTGTTATTTCCCGGGGGCATGCCATCTTCACTTAGGGAATAAGAAAGGCACACACTTTCTTAGAAAAGCAGACAATGAAATAACTCTTCAGATAGGCTACAATGTTAAGAATATAATGGTGGTTCAGGCCGGCGAGAAGCCACCCAAATAACACGGTAAAATAAACAAAGATTATGTCTTTTTAATTGTAAATGGTTAAAGGGAATAAGATATAAAGTCTTCTTTTATGGATGTAGATATTTGACAATATAAAACAAATCTTAAGCTGAATCAAAATATAAAAATATGTAAATTTCTAGGCTTAAGCTAGCTGTATTTTAACATTTTTGCTTTAAGTCATCTCATTATTTCCATTATGACCAGTTAACAATGTCTAGACAATGACTGATTTGGTAATCAATTAATTAAATGTAAATATCTTACCTACAATAATCTATTAAGCAATTTGTTTTCAAAAGTTAAAGGTTGGCATATTCCGGTTTAATTGACTTTTGTACCTTCAAAACACGTGAAAAATTTCAAATTTATCTTGTTACTGTTCTGTGAAATAACCATGAATTGGGAGAAGGAGGGAGAGAGAAAAAGATTTTCTATGATCTTGGGAAGGGACCAAGACTTTGAAATATCCCAGCAAGAACAGGATGAGAACCAGACTCCAGACATCAAAGCGTGGTTGAGGTCCAATTTTGGTGTGGTCATACTGACTTCAGTGTTCTAGATGATAATTTTATTATTATTATTATTTGAATGTGATAATTTTTCATCCCCTAAAAATGAAATTAAATTGCCTATTACCTAAGGTAAAATTTGCTTTTAAAAATCTTTTCTACAAAGTAGTTATAAATGAAGTTGTAGCAAGCAATACTAGTGAGAGCTGTTATTTATTAGGGTGTCTTATATCTAGGCTCTGTCTACTAGGTATACTTTATATTTGATTTAGTCTTCATCACACTCCCACAATATGGCACCATTTTTATTTTTAGTGTTTTTATTAAGTTATATATTTTTATCACTTAATATAATCTTTAAATAATATATACACACTCATTTTAAAGATTAACCTTTTAGTATTTTAATTATGAATATGTATGTATATACATCTGTGTATGTACAATCATGAATATGTGTATCTCTCTGTGTGTGCATATATGAGTATGTAGTGTATGTGTGAGTGTGTCTATATATGGGTTATGCATATCAACACAGGTATTCATGGAGGTTCAAGGCATCAGTTTTCCCTACACCTGAATTTATAGGTGGTTGTGAGTTCCCCAGAGTGGGCGCTGGAGGCAGAACTCTGGTCCTCTGGAAGAACAGGGTGCACTTTTCATCAAAGAACCATCTCTCTATCCCTTGCTTGTCTACATTTTAAAGACAGAAGCTAAGATTCCTTTCATTCTCCCCGGAACGCAGTGAATGGCTCGTAG